GGTACTATCTTCGGTCCCATGCTAATCGATACACCCATCGGAACATAGGAAAATCCACGAACCCCTCATTTTATCTGTCAAACTGTCATAGCGAATCAAAACAAACATTATGTAGTACTAGACTTTCGACTAGAATGGGGTACGTTAATCGATTTGCTTGGGACCAATAGGCTAGTCATGTAGTGAGCCAATTTAAAATCGCAAGTTTCCACCGGTTGGTGTTATGTCTGTTTGTCTGCGTTTTCGGGTTACTTTTAATATATTGTTTTCAGTTACAGTACAAAAACTACCAAAAAATCAGACAAAACGTTGATACATCCTGGTAGAATGTGTCAATTAGATAACAGGATCGAGAATCAGTAACTTATTGCTGATATTTTGAAGAACGTTTATACAGTTCATGGCGACAACGATCGAAGATTAAAAATATTAATTATGAATAAAAATCAACCAATATTTCGCATACCTTCCTGTGCCAATGAGAATTATTACAGTTGATCGGCTACAAATACCTGAATATTATTGTATTAGGTTTCCGATTTTGCAAATGCAAACTGCCAGGCTTTAAATAAATAAATATTTTTCGACTGGGCGCAGCTCCGGCGAGTTTGGAGGGTTTTTATCCTTGGGTATAACTTAGACGTTGTTGGCGGTATTCCATTCCTGAGCCATTTTCCCGTACTAACAGGAAGAGAGGTCTGGCCAAAACAGCACGGAATAACTGTGTTTCTTCAAAAACAAAAAAGGAACAGGTGTTTTACATACATTCCTTTACATAAATATCTTGGTTAACAGTGCCAGTTGTCCCGCACATTTGCAAATTGCCAGCCAAACCAAGTTTTTTTTCGGGAACTTTGACATCTTTTTCTGTTTAAACGAATCTTGAACTAATCCTTTTCCGGTAGCCGCCTTAAACTCTTGACCATAGAGCTGCTTGAAATCCGCCTTCCCGTATGTTTCATCATCCATTATGACGCAATCAAACTTGGTCAACAGTGTCGCGTACAACTTTACGTGCTTTGGCCGTGGTCTTTTTCTTATAATCTCGATTGGGTGTCACTGTAACCTTGTATGTTGACAGTCCGGATAGTTTCTTGGTTCTTTGGGCTGTTGTGTGCGATATTCCCAGCTTCTTTCCGACATCTCTGATGGAAAGCTTAGAATTACACTTGAAAACGCTGGCCACTCTTCTACCGGTCGCTGCGGTTTCCTCCTGATCCTGGTTTCCTAGCAGTCATCAGACGTTTTCCAAACAATTTAATAACGTTTGTCACAGTCGAATTGGCCACTTTCAGCGATTTTGCCAAGTATGCGTAGGAAAAATTTCGATGTTACTTATGCGCGAGCAAAATTTTGATGCGCTGTTCCTCTTGCTTCGATGCCTGAATAGTAAATGGCAATAACAAAATAGAGGCAACATTTCGTATGCACATACTTACAAAATGAATGTTCAAGTTTTTTAAGTGAACGATTAAAAAAAATACACCAAATTTTAGTCGACCAATTTTTGACCGTTCAACCCTTTAATACATCCTTCAACGAAATATTACTTGCTCTTGACACCCTAAGGTTTGAAAAAAAAAGTGAAGCAAATTTTAGAATGCTGAATTATTTTTTGATAATAATATTTACTTATATTGAGAATTGTATGTGGTTCTAAGGGGATAAAAATCTGCTGATTTTGAAAAATCAATCCCGATGACAAATAACACTACTGTGTACGTGGTATTCATTTTATATTTCTATCAATATGAACCATTTTTTTTCGCACAGCCTAGGATGAGAAGCGTTATTATTTAGCGGCGCCGGTGTTGTAGTGGTAAGCAGGATTACCTCTCACCCCAAAAAGGTCTGGGTTCAATCACAGTCGGCGCCACCGGGATGTTCTGAGGCATAACATCTCTGATCACGCCTGCCTTCTGAAGGGAAGTAAAGCCGTTGGTCCCCGGTTCATGAGTTGATGGGTCCAGATGTGGGAGCTGCCTCCCTGGCGTCGCTAGCATTGGTGCTCAGAACGGAAAACAAGATCGACGGATCAAGGAAAAAAAGCGTCATTATTATTTTTTTTTGATTTTTTTTTCCGTCGATCTTGTTTTCCGTGCTGAGCACCAATGCTAGCGACGCCAGGGAGGCAGCTCCCACATCTGGACCCTACCTATGGACCCATCAACTCATGAACCGGGGACCAACGGCTTTACTTCCCTTGCGAAGGAAGGCTGGGAAGGCCGACTGGAATTGAACCCAGGCCTGCTGGGGTGAGAGGTAATCACGCTTACCACTACACCACCGGCGCCGCTAGCGTTATTATTACTTTGACTAATCATTTTGGTGTGACCAGACGAGGCCTCCTTCTTCAATAATGGTAAACAATGATGTTAACATTAATAGTTTGTTTTTAATTGTACAAATATTTTACAATGTTTCAACCCGTGCTTTGATTGTGATCTTTGGAAATGTGATCTAATAAAAGTGGCGAGGAACTTCTTTTACAAAATAGAAGATTTCTTGAAAACAGAAGATACTTTTCATTCAAAGCACCAACGATTATAGATTGAATTCTTGCAATGCCAGTGGCGTTTTTGGCACTATTTTGCCAATCGAGCAAACAATGTTATGCTACCTATAAGTTTAATTATTTAATATGCTTGCTGTGATGTCTTCTCATCAATCGCTAAATAATCTCTGAAACGTTACTACTTTATTGTTCCACCCTGAAAATATAAATAAATATAATATATTTGAATCTGTTAACATTAAACAAAACTGGTTAGATTTATAAACATAAGCCTTAGAATATTTCAACACAAACGTCTTCTCATGATATTGAGGAATATATTAGAAGAAATACTGGAACGATATTCACATAATAATTTGTATCATGTGTATTTGAACCAGTGAACAAGGATCGCTTTAATGGATATCTAAAAAAAACTATATACAAATAATCAATCAATGTATCTCAAAGCATTTTCTGTTGAAAACTCTTGCTTAAATGTAGTACGTAATACAATGGATAAATAATAAGAACAATGTTTCAATGTATTTTGATTGAATCTGAGTGGGAGTCAAGGAGCCGGAGTCGGAGTCAGAGTCGGTTAATTTAAAATCAGAGGAGTCCGGGTTGGAGTCGATCTATTTAAATACAACACCACAGCCCTGGTAAAAACAGTAGATTCTAGTAAAAACACTAGATTGTATTGTTATTTTTTCAAAATTATAGATTTTTTACGGGCGCTCTCTACTACTTCTGAGAATTAACGTTCAGCCGGCGCCGGTGGTGTAGTGGTAAGCGTGACTGCTTTCTAACACCCCAATGGGTCGGGGTTCAATCCCAGCCGAGGTCGGTGGGATTTTTCTGAGGTATAAAAATCTATGGTCACGGAAGGGAAGTAAAGCCGTTGGTCCCGGCCCATGTGTGTTGTTTGAATGGGTGCGATATCCTACGCAGGTGTGGAAGCTGCTTTCCTGCACATTCGATTGCCGTCAATGGATGGCAATCGATGTCCGTCGGTGATTGGCACTAGATTGCGGAACAGAGACCGACGTTAAATAAAGGAAAGAAAAAAAAAAGAATTAACGTTCATCATTTCAACTTGCTCCTATGTACACATTTCGAATTACTCCATGGGGTGTTAAAATATGGGAGAAGTTCAACTGCTTTAAATGTTTGGAAATAATAATTTGTGACAGAATTGTCTAGGATAAACACTCCTATAGTTGCGGTACGTTAGAAGCGTTAGGTTCATACAGTTGTGTATTGATTCTCCATGCACAACTATAGGAACCAAACGCTTCTAGCGTACTGCAACTATAGGAGCGTTTCACCTATAAGGGAAAGTGGACGCATCGGATATTGGATATATCTCAGCGAAAAAAATCGAAAATTGATGCTGTTTTCACACAGGTTCACAGGAAAGTATCTTTTGTAAGTTTATAAATACTAAACAGGCTTCAAAATTATGTGTTAAGATGTCTGATGTGTTGAGATGTCTAAACCGCATTTCGACAAATTGGAACAGACTTGATGACATGCATTATTGTAAAAGAGAGTGAACTCAGGGATTTTTTCACAAAATTTCACTGTTTTCATAAGATTGATGGAAGTGTTGCGAAAAATTGGTTGTTATAAATGTCATAACTAATAATTATAAACAAAGCTGAGGGTCACGTTGACCTGATTGTAACTACCTGTTTTGCTAGTCATGGTCGCTTTCCGAAAAGCCCAGGAGGCCATTCATATGGAAATAAGGCGACTTAGAGCGCATCACGCGTGGAAAAGTTCTCAAAAACAAACAATGCTAGATAAGATATATATTGTGGATTACGGGTTGCATCTGACCAAATTGTCTCAAACTATCGTCACGGGTCATCCGAATCAGTGGCTAAATTGTATAACGAAGTTCAAGGTTTGGTAAAAGACGAAGATGCTAATTATAGTGACGATGGTGAATGAGTATTAATATGTTAGTAGTAATAAAAGATTAAGATTAGCGGTGCCGGTGGTGTAGTGGTAAGCGTCATTGCCTCTCACCCCAGCAGGCCTGGGTTCAATCCCCGTCGGCGCCGCCGGGATGTTCTGAGGCATAACATTTCTCATCACGCCTTCCTTCGGAAGTAAAGCCGTTGCTCTCCGGTTCATGAGTTGATGGGTCGATAGGTAGGCTCCAGGTATGGGAGCTGCCTCCCTGGCGTCAGTAGCATTGGTGCTCAGCACGGAAAACAAGATCGACGGAAAAACAAATCAAAGAAAAAAAAGATTAAAGATTGTTTCGTAAAGTCTAAGGAGCTAATCATAAGCTACGTTGATCGTTTTTTTTTTCAAAGCTTTAGATCCCCCTCCCTCTGCGTAGACAGCCGTTCATATTTTTTTTATATTTGTTCGGACCATCATATCTCCATAGCTACAGTTTCAGATCGCACATCTTAAACGAGACAAAGCTGTTGTGTTTCTTATTACCTATCCCCCAAATAATGCAATATATTTTATATTACAAAACTAGGCCAGAGAAGAGCAAGCCAAGCTAGAGATGAAGCATCGGAAAGAGGAAGATGATCTATACAGAAAATTTGCTAGAAAACGAGAAGAAGAAGACAAACGGATGCAAAGTGAAATTCAGGTTAGTTAGTTAGTTAATGTTTCCTAAAACCTTTCGTAATATATTCATTTTTCCATCCTTAAACTCTTTGTAGGATGAATGGGAACGAGAACTTCAACGGTTAGCCCACAAGTTCGAAAAAGATATGACTACCTCAAGACGTACCCGCGAGGACCAGAGCATACTAACACTCAAACATGAGCAACAAAAGGAAGATTTGGAGAAGAACATGACGATTCGCAAAACGAAGAAAAAGGAAAGTCTCACGAGAAAGCTACTGGAACATGAACGGTCAGAAACGGCAGCCCTGGTGGATCGACAGTCAAGCGAAATGCTGGAACTGATCAGTGCTCGACGTAGCGAGTATATGCAAACCGAAAGCATATTTCTAGACGATGAATTCACCGAGGGTACGATTACACTGGAGTATCCCTTGGTTGCGCCTAGCCCAGCCCCACCAGCACTGAGTAAATTTCAAATCTACAATGATCCGATTGAGTTTCAGGATGTAGATCAGATCGCCATTACCGTTGCTCAAGAAGATCAGAAAACATTTACTGATCTCGTACGGCAGCTTGTTGGTCGATGTACCTCGGACATCGAAAAGGCCCGGACCATATTCAGATGGATTACGGTTAAGAATCTGAACACAATGACCTTTGACGACGACTTACGAGGAGATACTCCAATGGGTCTACTACGCGGCATAAAATTTGGAACAGAAAGCTACCACGTTCTTTTCAAAAGACTGTGCAGGTAACATATTGTATTGTAATTCATACTGTAGTTGTTTGTTATTTTTAACTATCTTTTTCAGCTATGCTGGGCTTCATTGTGTAGTTATTAAAGGATATTCGAAAAGTGCAGGTTACCAACCAGGAGTGAAATTCCAAGATTCGAGGTAAATTAATATCAAACTTGATGTATGAATAGGCTCCTGAAAAGTAATTTCTTTTTCAATTATAGTCATCCGAAAAATTCTAGATTCCGAAATTCGTGGAATGCAGTGTACGTGGCAGGTGCATGGCGGTTTGTGCAATGCAATTGGGGTGCCCGGCATCTGGTAAACGCAAAAGAAGCACCAAAAAGTGGCAAGGGAAAAAATGATAGTCTGCGATATGAATACGACGATCATTACTTCCTTACGGATCCCCGAGAGTTCATCTATGAGTTCTTCCCTTTGCAGGAGGAATGGCAATTGCTCAAACGACCTATTTCCCTAAATGATTTCGAGAATCTTCCGTTTGTGCGATCGCTTTTCTTCCGATACGGACTTCATTTTGCTGATGAAGGATATGGTGCTGTAGTTTTTACTGATGATACAGGTACTTACACAATAATAGGGTGGGTGCGCCAGTAATGAAGGAACAAAGATATTTTATTTTTTACAACATTTTTTATACGTCAATGTTTTAACTTCTATTTTGCTGGGAAAAATTAGATTATGATTGAATTGTATACATTTTTGAAAAACTCGTCAACTGCTCCAATGGTTGTAGAGTGCGCACAGCAAAAAAATAATTTTGATATCACGTCAAAGTGGATGCACTACAATCATGTCGAAAATATGGTGTAATATTACTTGCTAAAAAGGACAAAATTATCATTAATACAATGCATGAACTGACATTACGCTGCTTTTACTGCATTTGTTTATTTATGTGGTCATAAAAATTACATGAAATTTTCGACATGATTGTAGTGCATCCATTTTGATGTGATATCAAAATTATTTTTTTGCTGTGTGGTATTTGCTAAATTTGGTTCATATTAGTGGAATGCACTAACACGATGCAGAGGAGTCTAAATCTTCTGTAAAATTATTTGATTTCCTTAAATTATAGCCTAATTTAAAGTTTCAAAAAATATGCAAATCTACTTTAGTTTAGGAGAGTTATGCTAAATTCAGACTGGTGAGTTATAACATGTTATAAGAGGTTATAAAGCTATCTTGATGTTTTTTTCTTTAATAACAATTAATAAGGTTTCAAATGCAGAATGAGCATAGCATCACAGAAAAAATATTATTTAGTTTTCCACCATATTCCGGCATAAGCACCATACCGCAACTATAGGAACACCACTACTACTGGAACACCTACCCTATGCCCTATGTGAAAAAATGCTCATCTGATTATCCCAAATATTCACAGGTGCAGCGACAGTTCGAATAGCTATGCCATCGGACATGCAAGGATGTTTGATATTCCATTATAATCTTAAGTTCTACGACAGCGAAGAAGATTCGTATGACGGAGTATCACTGAAACGCTTTGTCATGCAATCCGTAATAAGTAACATAGTGGCATTCCGAGTCCATGCGCCATGTTCGGGTGCATTTCTGCTGGATATCTTTGCAAATGCAGTTACACCTCAAGAGTACCTGACCGGTGAACCGATGAAATTCAAGAGTGTTTGCAAATTTAAGGTACAACGATGAACAGCATACATTAATGCTGCCAAAGTTCAAACTATCCCTTTTTGGTTTTCAGATTTGCTGCGAAGAATTGCAAACAGTTATGGTGCCACTTCCCGATTGTGCCAGTGGCGAATGGGGACCAACCAAGGCAACTAGACTTTTCGGGCTAATACCAATCACTCATCAGGTAATTTGCAATCGATTTCTATAAGTCAATAAGTTATTATGACACTTTGTATTCGTAAACAGGAACCATTAATTTTCGCTGGACGAGGAATTGAATTACAGTTCCGCATGTCGCGACCGTTAACAGACTTCATGGCGACTCTGCATAAAAATGGTATAGAAGAGAAGAAACTTTCAAAATATGTACAACACAACGTTGTAGGTGACACAATCACTTTCAATATCAGGTAATTTTAATTCATATATGCTCGATCACAACATTTAAATTGTTTTTGTTTTCGTTTTACTGTATTCTTTAACTTCCGTTTTTTCCACGAGTGGGGCAAAATTACGCAGTCAGAACCCTTTTACTTAATCAACAATTTAAGAAAAATGTCATGGTTGTTCAAATAGCTAACCAGAAGCGATTGTGGTCAAATAGTCAAGGAATCGACTCACGGTTATAAACTCAAATTTTATGATACGATGAAAAAATGGGAAACTTGGCTTCTTATTTCCTGTTTATCTTAAAAAATTGCTTCAAATTTAATGAAAATTCAAGCTTTCCATGTAATACACATTACTGACTGACTACTCGAGCTATGGTGTTCACTAGATCACTGTAGCTTTTCAGTTCGCATTCCGATTACAAAATCGAAATACGAGACATCAGCTATCAAGAAGAACTATTGACCGTACATAAGTCATAAAGATTTGTTTTCCGTCGATCTTATTTTCCGTACTGAGCACCAATGCTACCGACGCCAGGGAGGCAGCTCCCACACCTGGTCCCTACCTATCGACACATCAACTCATGGACCGGGGACCAAAGGCTTTACTTCCCTTCCGACATGCGTCGCAGCAAACATGGGAAAGCAGTATTGTGTTATTGTATGTTTTCCGGTAGCAGATAATTGACCCCTGGAAAATGCAAAGTTGTACCAGCGCCCGGGCTTCTGGATCGTATCACCTTAAGTGCAAAATGTTTAAAATGTGCTCTGATCAGATTGCCCCGAATGGACCTAAGTATGATTGAATAATATTTATTGAGAACTAGAAAAACATCGTGTCATATTAGAAACTAATGACAATTTATGTAGCTGCTGAAGGAAGATTACCGAACAGTTATAAGAAACTACTCTTAAAAATCACTTAGTGTTATTTTAAATAATTTCTGAGCAAACTGGAATCTTTAAGAATATCTTGTAGATGTGATTGTTAATTGTTGGACAGTTGAAGATCTTCAGAATGATATCTGATGAAGCTGAAGTCGCTAATCTAATATCTTGACGATATTTTGGAGATCTATATTATATTTTGGAGGTCTTATAAATATATTTTTAGCAACCTGGTATCTTGAAAATACATTGGAGATATGCTTTGAATTGTTGGGCAGTGAAATTTTGAAGGTCTTTGCAATAATTTCTGAGCAACCTGGAATGATGAGGGAATATCTGGATGTGATTTGAATTGATGGATAGTTGAATAACTAGCTTAGAATAAATGAAGATATTTAAAATGATTGTAGCACACATTGACTTCCAAAACATAAAAAAAAACGATCCTTCCCGCTGTAAAATAATTGCTCCTCCTAATTTTGCTTTTTTTTTAGCAATGTGTCACTTTATTTAGTGATCATTTTAGTGGTCATCCAGCAAAATGAACTTCCAGCTCTTCAAAATCCTGCAAAATTTTGCTGGTTTCCGGCAACAAAAATTGGGTGTGTATGTTCACCTGGAGATATTTTGTTTAATTGCTGAGCAATTTAGTGTTTGAGAGAATAACTGGGAGATGAAATTTGAATTGACGGGCAGTTTGAGATCTTCAGAATGTTACCTGATCAAGCTGAAGTCTAAACCAAATATCTTGAGGATTTTGGAATAATTTCTGAGCAACCTGGTGTATGAGAGAATAACTGGAAAATGTGATATGAATTGTTGAGTAGCTGAAGATCTTCAAGCTGATCAAGCTGAAATTTTGAACAAAACCTGATGACTTTTTTCTGAAGATTTTTTAATGTCCATCAATTCAAATCACTTCTCTCAGATTTTCTCTCATACCATGGTGTAAGATCAAAGTTCTTCATAAAATCCTCTTTATATTGCTGTTTTGAATGCACCAGGTTTCTGAAGATCTCCAACTATACAACAATTGAAATCTTGATGCTCACATATTCTAAAAATTTACCAGATCTCTCATAAACTTTTCCGGGTAATGAATGATCTTCATAATGACCTCTGGATATTTTTATATTTAAGGTTTCTGGTCCAACAAGTCAAAATAAGTAATCAAACATCTCTATAAAAAATCTCTGGATTTACAGTGTACTCTCCTTTACTTTATTTCTCCCTAACTGCTGAGATTTGTCATTGTTATTGTTTTTTTTTCAAATAGTCACTGACAGACTTGATCCTCAACAAAACCTTCGTCAAAATATCAATCATTTTTTCGTCAATGACAAAGATTCACTAAAAGTATAATTTCGTGCATTCTGTGTTAAATGAGGTCGTAGATGCTTGTTCATTTTAACGGCTCCATGTAATTGTTTTACTCAAAGTTCGTTGCAAATTTAGTTAATAAAAAAATCTACACACGTTCGTCACTGACAGCATTGTCACTAACAATTGACATGGTTTGCCTTGACGATGACTGTTAGCTCAAATGAGAGACCAACGTAGAATTGAGAATATCACCGTGTATTGTCGAGATTTTGCAGCACTGGTCCAGACTATAGTCGCTATATCTATAGTTTTTTTTCCTTGATTCGTGCTGGGCACCATTGCTACCGACGCCAGGAAGGCAGCTCCCACACCTGGACCCTACATATCGACCCATCAACTCATGAACCGGGGACCAACGGCTTTACTTCCCTTCCGAAGGAAGGCGTGATCAGAGATGTTATGCCTCAGAATATTCCGGTGGCGCCGACTGGGATTGAGCCCAGGCCTGCTGGGGTGAGAGGTAATCACTCTTACCACTACACCACCGGCGCCGCAACTTCGTTCGGTAGCTTTTGAACTAAAGTATCGTACCAAACGCATAATTGACTTGTTAATTTTGAAATCATGGGTTTATTTGATGTCGAAGTAGTTCTCTATCTTATATGAAATTTCGTCTATTCTTGAAAAACTCAAAATAAAAAATCACAGTCTCTCTCAAAAACATTTCCAATTCCGAATCTTTAAAACATAACTAGGTATGTATGGAAGCACATCAACATTTATTTGATTCTTGGTAAGCTGGAAACAAATCGGCCTGATGGGCATTCGGCCTAATAGCCGGACACCCATAAAAATAATCACGACGATTTGGCAAACTGAATTATGTAAAACAGTTTCCTGGATTGTTGCTATGAGAATGGGACAGGCATGAGTGAACCTGAAATCAATAAAAAAAGAAAAAAAAACAGTACTCAAAAGAACATTCACTCAGTGTAAACGTATCACTCCTAGTCTATCTGCATTGTTTAAAAGGTAAATGTGAAATTTACTTTGATGTATATTCGAAAAATTCAAACCCACTTTTTTTCAACGCATCGTTTTAGATTGCAAAAAGCTCACGTCAATTTCTGTAAAATAGCAAAAAGAATGTTATGACGAGAGCTTTTTGTCATTTGAATTGATGCGGGTTTGCGAAAAAATGGGTTTGTATTTTTGGATATCACATCCAGCGCTGCAAAATCTTTCTTTGGAAATTTACAAGGATGTAGCACAGACAATCAGACACAACACTCGCAAGTTGTTAACCTAACACACATTTAACGGTCAATTTAAATGTTTTTAGTTGGTAGTACCACCACCTGTTGCGCGCATAGACAATTCCCTTGCGTTTGACGTTTACACAATACCTCCATCTGTACAGCGTACTGCCCATCACAGTATACTCAACAGATGGCGGTAGTGTTTTAGCGATAATATACAGCTATCCCTCGAAGAACACGTTACCCACTGAGTTGCACCCACCGCTTTTTCTCGGCGGAGTTTCAACCAGTCGGTCTGATTTGTTGCATGTGAGTAATGCCAATGGAGAACTAGTCACTCGCAGAAAATCAGAGGGCTTGGTTGAAAACCCACCGAGACAAAGTGGTGTGTAGAACTCAGTGGGTAACGCTTTCTTCGGGGGAAAGATGTATTGAAAAATATTCAATGTGTCTGTTTGTCTGTGGATATAGTGAGTTTAACTAATCAAGAATACCCGAAAATGTTACACTCTCAGAAACTGTTTGAGCCTCTAGTTACTGGGGGTCTATGAATTTGACTTCTGAAGACCGTTTTTGTACACTGAGGAATAATTCGTTCGAATTTAATATGAAATGCTTATCCATTTTAACAAAAATATATAGGTATATATTTTGAATTCCATAACATTATGAACGCACCCAAACTTTTGATCGATGACCCGAATAAACATTTGATTTAAATCATCTCCTTAAATTTTCAACCAAACTTTCACAAACGTATCTCTATGACCCCAAACTTATCATCGGGAATGTATATCGCGATGGAGAACAGATTCTGGACTAAAGTTAATAAGCTTGAAAAAGGAATAAGAAATGTATTTCTAAAGAAAAAAAAATAAAAAATAAAAATTTCACCTACCGTTCCATCTTAGCATTTTTCTTTGTTGACCCGGTCTCGGCTTGCTCAAAGAAAAATTTCATAAAATTATTACTGATTGCATCTGAAACTGGACTGTCCCAAAAATGCAAAAAGTGTGATAAAAGTGCACGTTTCCGTCAAATCGTTTTGATGTCTTCGGAGCACTTATTGCTTGCATCATAAGGAATAAGTGCACCGAAGACATAAAGACGATTAGACGTAAGCTTGCAATTTTATCACACTTTTTAATAAGTGAAAACGCGCTTATTAGTCCAATTTGGTGTGAAATGCGCAATATCAAATATTGATGATTTTTATTTATTCGCCCTTCTGCGAGACTTCACCTACTGTACAATGTTACGTCAACTTACTCGGTTCGTGGCTGCTTGTCTCCAGTTTCATGAGCGTTCCACACTTCCTAGATCTTGCTCCACTTGGTCTAACCAACTAGCTGGCTTAATAAAGCTAACCTAAACGGCCGGATTTAAGGCAAACACCATTTTTATGAGATTGTTATCCGGCATTCTTACAACACCTTACAACGTGTCCCACCCAAGCGGCGCCGGTGGTGTAGTGATAAACGTGACTGCCTCTCACTCCAAATGGGCCTGGGTTCAATCCCAGTCGGCGCCGTCGAGAATTTCTGAGGTATACAATCTATGATTACGCCTTCCTTAGGGAAATAACGCTGTTGGTCCCCGGTTCACGACATGGGTCGAGAGGTAAGGTCCAGGTGTGCGAGCTGCCTCCCTGGCGTCGGTAGCATTGGTACTCAGTACGGAAAACAAGATCGACGAAAAACAAATGAAGGAAAAGAAAATAAAAAACGTGCCCACCCATTGTACTCTTTCAGCTTTAACAACTTTCTAGATACTGGGCTGGAGCTCGTAGTAGGCATGACTAAATAAGCCGACAATAATGCGTCTCCGAATTTTTGAGATTTAACAGTAATAGTAAATCGCAGAAATCAAAGCATTTTTATCAGCGAAATGACCGGCGGTTAAATAAATTTCGTCGGTGGTTGAAATTCATTTAATGTCCTTTGGCGAAATTACCAATGCGACGGTTTTTTTTTTCGGCTAAATGTAATTCGGTGACATGACCGTCGGCGAATTTACCAGATCATCATACCCATCCAAAATAAGTGTAAACAAAGGCGATATTTAACAACCCATTTGCCTTTAGTAATATGACATTTAACCTTTTTTAATAGACGCCTGATTAAATATCGGTCTTAGAAGAAAAAATTCAATTATGATCCAGTAAGTTGGTGTATGCGTTCGCGGCGAATTAACTTAGCGTTATTCAAACGAATATAAACAAGATTTCTCGGAGTTTTAATTTTATGGGATGATCATGACCTTATTTCAATATATGAAGCGAAACTTTAAAATAATATACACATATACAAAAAAGAATTATGTCGCAAGCTTTATACTGCCCATAAATGAGAAATTGGCTTATGTGCCTAAAACACGAAATCGAGAAAAATGCAACTTTAACATTTATCTTGGTTGAATAAGGTTTACTATTTTTTTTAATTAAGTATTGAAATGTTCATAACTATATTTTCCTATGCCGGAAACATGCCGTTGAATAAAAACGACGAACAATTTAACCAATTTCCCTAAATTATGCTTATTTTTAATCACAGTAGTAGTGGTGTTGCCATGTGGTACACTGAAATATTGCAATAGCAGGTTCGTTACCAAAGTTTTTGAGCCGCTTCGTTTGTGCTTACACGTAAGCAAGGTACAATTTATTTTTTTAGCGTTGTTGCCTCCCGGTAAAAAATGTATTGGTATAACCTTACAACCCACGATGACAAATCTGACGAAGAATCATAATTTTGATATTTACCATTTACATTTCCCTTCCCCTTTCCATTTATTAAGCATGAATAAAGCTGTTATAAATAAATAAAAACATCCATTCTATAATACATTTTATTAAAAACTCTTGTGATTAAGCTCCAAAAACTGAAACATGTCTGAACTTTTAACATTTATTATCTTTTTTTATTATAACAAAAAACAAGTTTTGAAATCCGAATCATCAGATTCACAACCTGGTGCCTGTGGACCACTTGGCTATAAGACCATTTTACTTGATACTCAAAAAATTCCATATTAAAAACACACTGGTTGCTGCGCTCGGTTTCAAACTCATCATGCACATTAGACAATAATTTATCATTTATATTGCACATTAGCTTTCCAGTTTTTCAAGTCGTTATCCTCGCAAATCATTTTCGTTTGACAATCAACCACTTCATTCGAGCAGTTAAAATTACGTTGACTACTACTCGAACTTTGAAATAAAACATTATTTTGAGATTTTTTCTTCTAGAACAACGAGAAAAGTAGCCAACATTTGTGCGTTTCATAAAAAATAGAAATTAGTTGGTCCAGTTTTGTGAAATCGCTGGTAGAAAGTCACGCCAAAACTGCTTGACAAAGTGGTCAATTTAATGCAGTGGGGACAACAATCAATACGAAACTAACGATTTTAAATTGGCTCACCACTTTAGTAGCCTATTGGTCCCAAGCAAACGATTAACGTACCCTATTCTAGTTGAAATTCTATTACTACACTATGTTTGTTTTGATTCGCTATGAAAGTTTGACAGATAACATCAGGGGTGTGTGGATTCATGCAGAACATGCAGGGGTGAGTGAAATAGCTTGGGACTGCTTGGGACCGTTGTTCTGGTACTGAGTGAGCCAAAAATAATAATGATTTTCTTGGGGACCCAGTGGTCTTAGAGTTACCTCTATGGTGGGGATTTGATATGAGTGCCACCTATCAAGTAACACAATTTTCTCGATTTTGACAAAAATGGCATTTTAGCCAATTTCTCATTTATGGGCAGTATATCAAACTGACGTCAAACACTAAAATTTTCCATGTTCTGTTTGCTTGCTATTTTCAGTTTTCCACAAGAGGGTCAGTATGGATTGGATATCTACACGCGAGAGGTTGGATCCATCACAAACAACAACAACTCATCGAACGAAAAACATTTGCTAACACACTGCTGCAAATATTTGATCAATTCGTCCAAGAGAAATTAACAGCTGCTACTGGGAACCATATGCTGTTCATTCCATACTGCTACATCGTAATTTTCGTTGCATCACTTTGTTATTTGTTCTTGTAAATATAGTTGATAGAAATGTTCGCTACAAGATGATTCTGTTTTAATATAATTTTTAATAAACTATAGGTATATTTATTTTCACGAGTAACCTGCATAACACGCCGCATATTAGCGTTCATAAATTGAGCACCGATGTAAATAATTGCCTGATAAATGGATGTTTCTCAATCGAATAAACTGTACATGGATTAACTCATCGTTGCAAATCTTCTGTTACTTTATCTTCGATATCCGTTATTTGTGATTCAATGTTTTTGAGGTCTTGTAACTCACTTGTGATGGCATTTTTCAGGAATTCCCTTCTTTCATTTAAATCAGTCCACTTTTTGCGACTCAACTCAACCTGTGTCACTGCCTGCTGTAGTAAATTAATGTGTTATTGAATGACAAACAAACTTTTAGTATGTGTTACCTCCAACTGTTGTTTTTGGTATTGAATCTGCTTCTCATACATTCTTTTCTGCCATTTAAGCTTGTTAATTATTAGAGGTCGCACTTGTTCTTGAGCGCTCTTTCCAGTTGGACGCCTATAATAAGTTACGGGAAAAGATATGAATACAAATTGCAAGCGGTTTATAACAAAAAAGATTCGTTAAAAGTTCAACTACCCTAATTAGGTTAATATGATGTTACTCTCTTTGGAGTAATGTTGTATGTATTTGTCAAATCCAGATTCTGTTGTTCACAGAATCAGCATACATGAGTAACGGTTACTTTTACATTTTATCAGAATAGTGGAATCAGACATTACTTGCAATATTAAGCACAATGATATGTTTAACGATTACAATTTTTATTACTTTTGGGGTAGTTAAAATATTGCAAATCAAATTTTTATGGTAAAATGTCTACAGTGCACAAGCATATGATAACTTAAAAAACATAAATCACTTCATTTTTTCATAGTTGATTTAAACTTGAAGTGTTCTTAAACCCACGGTAATAGCATAGAGGTATGTAAGTCATGGGTACGGTCAGTACGGAAAACAAGATCGACGGAAAACAAATCAAGGGAAAAAATACGTTCTTTAGGTTCTCCTAGTTTGAAGCAGTCATGACTAGGATTCGGCAGTAGATCTTACATCCTGTAACGTACCACGAAAAGGTGATCTACCCACGTTACGGGGCTACGTTGTCTTACATGGGAGAAAAAAGGAATATCTTACGTACACACTTAGAAAAAAATCACCGACTTCGGTAATTGATTTAGCGAATTCTCAACAGCTGAACGGTCGGTAATGTTTTCGGTAATCGAGAACATTACCGAAAAATCTGTAAACTGAATCAGCAAAACTAGCTGTCAAATTTACCGAGGGATCGGTAACGTTTACCGATGTGCATTGCTTGATTTGTAGTCGACTTTACCGGAGAACTGTAATTTTGAGGACGATATGCAAATCGAAAATTACCGAGATCTGTTTTTTTTTAAAAAGGTAACCGACTCAACTCAACTGCAACTTTTTAATATTGTTTCAAGGTGACGGTCACTGCAACCCATGCAAAAATTTGGCTGCAGTCGTGATCAATGTGTTAGTGTTACAAATTGCTCCACCAATGAACAAAAACAAGTTTTCGTCGGCAGGATTCGGCGCTACACTGATAGCGAATTCGTTTATTATCGGAGTTGGAACTAGTGCGAAACCGAACTTTTTGTCAGTGCGAACCTCAACCTGAGCTGGATTTTAAAAACAAACGAGCAAACTGACGTTTGTCTGAAAACAAACAGACCCAATCTTGATACCCGATTCAGGTTGGAACTGAATAATAAACGAATTCGCCTATAAGCTTGAACAAGTAATATACAAACCATTCAAAGATTCGATTAAAAATCTTACAAAGGGGTTTAAGTCTTATTTAAGAAAATCCAAGCGCACAAACCTTGTGATGATTGTTGGAATATTTGTGTCTGGTACATTTGGGTTAAGGGTACATAAAAGAAATTTAAAATTACGTTTTTGAATCAAATTTTGTACATTTTCGGTGATTTGCAGTAAAAGCTATGAAGCAACTATTTCAAAATGTTTGCTACAGCCCTGATCGATTTTCGGTCGCCTATGGTTTGATACATATATTGTGTCACGCTCTAAGGGATGAGGAGTATACTGCCCATAATCGCATATCAATCCCATGTGGATAGGAAATCAAGCAAAGATGGGACTGATATGCGATTATGGGTAGTATAGTCGCTATATTTATAGTCTGGCGGATAGAATTTCGATCCATCAAAAAGCGGAACCAATTAACCACTTCAGCAGTTAACATAACGTTTACTACCACTCGAACTTTGAAATAAAACATTATTTTGAGATTTTTTCTTCTAGAACCACGAGAAAAGTACCCAACATTTGTGTGTTTCATAAACAAATAGAAATTAGTTGGTCCAGTTTTGTGAAATAGTTGGTAGAAAGTCACGCCAAAACTGCTTGACGGTCAATTCAATATATTGTAGACCAACAATTTAAAGGTACTATCAACTTTTATAAACACAACGTTGATTATTAGTTTCTCGCCAATCGAACGCAAATTACCAGCACCATTGAATAGGGGAAACTTTCCCTAACCCAAAGATGGTGTTAGTTTGCGTAGGCCAGCCTTGAGTAGCGCGAAAAGGGTTTCCGATGTTTTGTTCGCAATAGCTGATGTGCTCTTTTCTGTTGTTTGGTCGTGATTTGCTCGATTGGTACCGCTATTTGACAGCTCAATTGGTTCCCGAGATTCTATCCGCCAGACTAGGAATATAGCGACTATAATGAGGAGAGGTGTGAGATTTTGTGCCAATACATTAGATATGCATTAGATATAGGATAAACGTGACGAAAGGGGAAGGGGTGCTAATTATCCCACAATTTAGCGTGACACAATTAACGTATGACCCCTATAACATGTGCTACATAAACCCGAATGGCACTGAACTATGTAATTTTAATTTAATTCTGAATTATTTAGTCTACGATACCCTTTATGTAAGTTTTTAAACAGTATGTTTCTTACCATTTCTTAACAGAATCGTTTTTCGGATCAGCCTTCAACATATCCAAAACATTCAATTGCTCATCGGTATTCGTGGTATCCCAAACGTTATTGAAATATGACAATAAATTCTCCAGTAAGCCACCTCTGAAAACCTCAATTGATCGATGATTCGGTGCTCGTTCATTATACTCTGCGAAGTGTTCTGGTCTACAAATCAAACAATAAATCAAAGGAATTTTTTAATCAAGCGATCAACAAATTACCTTATCCATTCTAGCATCTCGCCATATGTTTCTAGGAATTTTTGCTTGTACTTGCTCACATCAGGCTGGTTGGACGTAGCCATATCACATTCAATTATAGGAAGAACAATCACGAAATGATTAAAAAAAATTGGATAGAGCGCGGACAACGGTCTAGCTATATATCTCTGAGCCAGGAATCCCTCTTTGCTCCAACGGTATTTTTCTCATTGACGTGTGTGTGAAAAAAAAACAAACAACTTCCTCCTTCACTGTAAAACCGGGTGTACACGCTATTTCAAAACTACCCGGATTTGGGTACAATCCACCAAGATCGGTCAAAACTGAACCTACCCAAAAATGGGTAAACTGTGTTGAAGTGACAAGTTGTCAAATGAAGAACATCGAAATGAATCCGATCGACGTTTTTTCTTTTGTCAACTTGTCACTCCCAACACAGTTTACCCATTTTGGGTAGGTTTAGTTTTGACCGAACTGGGCGGATTCATCCCAAATTTGGGTAGTTTTGAAATAGCGTGTAAAACCGCTAACAGCACCCTTCTCGGTAACCAGCGTAAACACATAAATGAGTAAAAAATTAACATTTTTATATTTATGTGCAGCTATCAAAAAATGTGTAAATTTGGTGATCTTGAAATGTGTAAAAAAAATACACATTTTAAGAATGTAGTACCAGTCAAACAATGTGTATTTTTATACTCATTAATGGGTAAAAAAAACTTCAAACTTTGCAGCATCCTGCTTTGTTGACGCACGCCATTTGTATACACGGATAGAAATCTCCTTATACCTTTTGGCAAATTTCTATTGCTGATTATTCTTAAAATGTATAAGTCAACTAATAAGCAGACGCCTTGCAAAAAGTTAATGAAGCTCATGTGTCAAATGAAATGTATAAGCGGTCACACATACCTTTTATGCATTCTTGTAGGACCTATGTGGTTTGTCTTATGGAATGTATAAGGCTGATGCTTTGGCAAAAATGTATAAGTGAAACAGATGAATAAAATAATTGATTTTCGTTTCGTGTATATAGGTAAGCGTAAAATTTTCAGTGAAGAACAGCAGGAAAATGTAGGAACTACGGTCCAAACTGGACAGTGTAACGATGGACATGCTAGAGGGTAATGACGTTTATATAAGGTCTGGGCCAAAGGGCTTATTGGTGTTAGTGAAATGTGCAAATGTTTAGTGGTATTCGTATTTTATTGCAATGTTTATCCTTTGACGCGAGAAAGGTCCGCAAAACCGTGCTGCTGTTTGGACATAAATTTTCATTGTGCGTCTCTTTTTCTCTCCCTTTTTACTTATGGCACAGACCTGTTAGTCCATATTTCTGCGCATCTCTATCAACGTATACGTATATACGCCCTAATAAACAAATACCATAAACGAACAATTACCTAAATAGTCGAACTTTTCCACAAATGGTTTGTTTATTTGTTTATTTGTTTATTTGTTATGGTTGCATCAACAGACTAGAAATAGTCCCAATGATGTGTTGTAAAAAAAGTACAGATTATACAGACAACATACATATACTACAGTTACTACAGTTACAAACGAAAATAACTTGGAAAGCATTGTCAAGTTACTAAAAATTAAATTTTACACTTAGCTGTTGGGTATCAAGCGCCTTCGGTCAGCAAAAAAGGCAGAGAATCTTCGGCGAAGCATATTCCGTGTCAAGTGGAAATCGAACATCGACGCTACTCAGTTGAACACTAGCTGCAAGCCGTAAATAGCGCTCCCTATGCTATAATTAGTTCGAAGAAGTGGAAGTCTCAGCATAAGACTGTTGCGTAGTGATCGAGGTTGAACATTAATGTTCACTTGTTGCAGAATTGCTTCGCAGTCGATTCTTCCTTGCAGAGTATCGGCGACGGTTAAGGCTCTGAAAACATCTCTTCGGATACGTAAGGGCTCGATATTGATCAATTGGCAGCGATTCTCGTAGCTTGGAAGACGAAGTGGGTATCTCCAAGGCAGCTTACGGAGCGCGAAGCGAAGAAAACGTCGTTGAACAGATTCAATTCGCTCGGCCCCATTATTGTAGTTCGGGCTCCAGACAGCAGAGCAGTATTCCAACGTAGATCGTACGAGAGAGCAATAGAGCGATTTCAAGCAGTAAATGTCCGTGAAGTTCTTAGTGATCTTGAAGACAAAGCCAAGCGTTCTGGACGCTTTGTCGACGACATACGATATATGGTGTGAGTATGTCAGCTTTGAGTCTAGAAAAACGCCTAAGTCTTTCACGCAGTGCACCCGTTTGATAGTCGTGCCTAGTAGTTTGTAGTTGAAAATAATCGGTTGTTTCTTGCGTGAGAAAGTAATAACTGTACACTTAGCTGGGTTGACCACCAGTCGGTTTAGACTACACCAGTCAGCAAAGATGTCAATCTGATTTTGGAGAGAACGGCAGTCGGCGAGTGAGCGGATGCGCAGAAAAACTTTCAGATCGTCTGCAAACGATAATCGTGGTTCTGTGATAACATGGTGAACGTCGTCGAAGTAGAGGAGAAATACCAATGGTCCCAGATGGCTGCCCTGAGGTATACCGGACTAGAAGCTAGCTGAGCGACAAGTACCCAAAGTTACTGTCAATTGGCGCTCCGTGAGGTATGAACGAAACCATCTCAAAAGATTTCCACCGATCCCTAGCCTATCAAGCTTAGCGATCGCAATTTCGTGGTTCAGCTTTGGTTTGGATGCTACCCCAAACGCGTGGTTTGGATGATACCCCAAACACGTCGTTAAGCAAAATAACCATAACAAATTTATTAGGGCGTTCCTTCTTGCCATCCTTTCCTGGAACACTTTGTGCACGGCCACTGCCTTGTGGATCTGAAATTAAGCAAATGAAAATTATTAAATTTCATCTGAATTTCATAATGTTCACCGCCTTGATATATTCCAAATAAATACTTACATTTCAATACTCATTTTATTAGGCACAGATGGCATAAAAAATCCTTTTTGAAGGCCTCGTAAAATGCTTTGTGGTAGACAATATATTGATTAAGATAATTTTCACCCAATAATGGGAAAAATAATACTCATTTTTCTTCCCCGAAGAAGTCAAAAAGATGGGTACAAAAGAACCCATTTTCAAAAATATTCAAATACCCATTATTTGACAGCTTCATATACACTTACTAATAATGGGTACGTTTATACCCATTAATGGCATTTGCAAGTTACAGTGTATCTGATTTGACACTGTTTTTTATCAATTTTAGTACAAATTTGGTTGTCAATGTCATTTATATTTTTACTGAACGCTGACGTGCGAATTAAAATAACAAGTACAAGAAAAAGAATGAAGTCTAAACACTATTCCGTTTTGGCTTTTCAAGTCGGTTTAAAATTTTTAACATTTAGCAATTTTGTACAATAATTCATCGATTATATTACGCATGAAGATAACAAGTCAATTACCTCGGATACTATGAAACGGCAAAGGTTTGTTGACAAAGATGTGATGATATCGATCCCAAGAGAAATTCACTTTCGTAAATAATTTCAGGGTGAAAAATGTATCAAGTCGTGTTTACGTGGATCATCAGTTTGACTCACTGGATCCGGGTATAACGTTGAATGAAGCCAAAACCAATCCAATCGAAAAATGGATGGAAGCGCAGGTGTTGCCAGGTGACACACTGCAAGCTATTGCTCTCAGGTTCAATTGCACGGTAGGATAGTGCCTATGGGCGAATTTTTTTTTCATAATAAAATACCTAACTGGATCTGTATTGTTTTAGATAGCAGAACTGAAAAAAATTAACAAGATAGACAAAGACAATGAAATTTTTGCTCGAAGGATAATCAGAGTGCCAATTACGCCTCATTCAGTTCTATTAGAAACACTGCCAAAAGTGCACAGTAGTGGTAACAGTAGTCCAAAGAGTGTTCCGAGCATAACACACAATGCCATATCCGTGTTGGCAACGCAAGCGAATTTAGATGAAAAATTGATTGTGGCTGCAGTTAGTAGTGCTTCCTACAAAGAGGATAACCTGAACCACATCGTATTAAACGCAAGAAACGAAACTCATGCTAGTTTTGGAGACCCACAGGAGGGATCGAGTAAAAGCTACCGAGACGACAATTTCTCTTCTCGACAGCCATTGCTTAGTGGAGAATATGACGAAAATGTGCCGCAACCACGTCCGGTACGACTACCTGCAAGCGATTTCTCGTGCAATGGATCCGACTGTGATATCTCCTGGATTTGTCTACTAGTGTGTATTTTGGCGCTTTGTTTTGCTATTCCACTAATATACGTTTTTTACGTTGCCGAACATCCTGAGAAATATCATCACAATCACGACACAGAGCCCAGAATAGTGGACCTGAAAAAAGCCAGTATTTTCAATGGGAGTGATGTGAGTTACAACATGTAGTAATTTTTCAACTTCAAATTAACCACTATCAAAACAGGTATCAAACCAATTTCGATTGTAAGTGAAACTTTGTTACGCTACAAGCGAATCTGCTCAAGTACGGACCATCACCTTCGTAGATTCTACTATACACTTATGAAGTCGTCACATTCGTTTTACTTATCGGGTCCAAGCGACTGAAAATATATGTTACTGAGCACCCAGAGTTGGAAGTTCGAGCTGCATACAATTTCTGGGTTAAAACTAGACCCATAATCTTTTTTAGGTGTTTCAAAGGGATTGTTTTACTATTGGAACAAAGTGTGCCTGGTGTGCCTTTTTCAGAATTAATTATACATTTTATTTTGTTGAATGAAATTATTTCAGTGGCTTATCACTGTCTTGGAAAATTGTGTTATCTTTTCTCAATTCATGCAAAACTGGTTTAGTATTTGTTAATTATTTTAATTTGATCTGATTTTCATGCGATGAAGAATCATTGCTAGATTTAACCGCATTATAACATGTATCATAGTTTTGTTTTGTTTTGTTTATTCGGGTTGGGGATGTTCGTTAACTACGTACACGGCTTAGGAGAGGGGAAAGGGGGTGGGGTCTTGTTTGGTGATCCATTAAAATTAAATAAAAATGGAGGAAAAGGACTGGTCTAGAATCCCAAAAAGTGTCTATGTAGTTTACGTAGTTTTTGAACAGTAGGTATTATAGTAAACACAGACTGGTGAATAGAAATTAACAAACTAGCAGCACTGATATTTTACAATTAATACCAGCACGGAGATGGAAAACTATCCAAAATTAAGTTCTTTTTCCTCAATTTCCGGGTTCAGCCCAATAACCCAAATTTGAGTAAATCGCATATAGTAGTTTCCACTCAACGCCAGCAAAAGCAATTACTTACTCTTAAGTATATTCTGCCCAAAATTAAGTTTAATTCCAGTAAATTTGAGAGTATGCAATTTACTCAAATGTAAAGGCTGACGCACAATGTATAAGTTTCCGGGTTTTTTGTTTGACAGACAATGCATGGGCTAACTGTCAAAAAACCTGAAAAATTATACATTGTGCGCCGGCCTTAACTTATTGGCCTTAACTTTCGTTCCTTTTTTGACCACAATAACGAGCGCAAGTGAGAGGTTCAACTCAAAATTAAGTAAAAAGAAGTAGTATTTTTTGCAACTGCCTGGAACACTTGCAAATGTTCACATTTATACTCTTTTATTCCTGTTGAATGATTATGTCTTTTGTACATCAAACAAGCTAAAATCGATTGTCCATTTAGTTTAAAATTACGTGTTTATTCAAAAGATTTCTTTTAAAAGCCCTTCTGAAAACATAAAATTAAACACTCATATTACTAAATGAGCAACCGATTTTATACAAGTATTTCACTAAGACGCCCACATTCATCAGGATTCATGAACCGATATTAGCTTGTTTTATGTATAAAAAGCATAAACATTCAACAGGAATAAAAGACATAAAAAGGAGTCATTTTATGTGTGAACACTTGCAAGTGTTCTAGGCAGTTGCAGCTAATGAATGTAAAATATCAGTGCTGATAGTTTCACGGAGTTTCTATTCTCCAGTCTGTGTTTCCTATACCGTCCGTAATGAACAATCCAGGGAACAGTATGAAATTATTCTATATAGTATGATATAAATCCTGACAGATACCAATCCAGTTACAAAACAAAAAGTTTGGAGAAAATGCTGATGCTCAGTAGTAATTCTGTTTGTGTTTCTCATGGTTTATGCAATTTTGTTTGCTGAATCCCGGCAATTTTTTGTCGAGGTTTGCCCAGCCGAGCTACCGGCAATCATTTTTTGCTGAGATCTCAGCAAAAGTGACGTTTGGATGCTGAGTCTTGGATAATGTTTTGTTTATGGCGGTAAGCTTCAACTCGGAGTAACTTTTAATACCGATCCTGTTTGGATGATCTACCCAATGTCTGCTTAGAGTCGTGTTTATTAACTCTGATGTCGACATTGAACCAGCCGGACATTGTTGATCGGGATTTAATACGAGGAAAATACCGGTTGGAGCTTACCACCATTAATCTTAGCAAACAAACGTAAGACCTTGTACAGACATGCAAAGTACACTGGTACACTGTTGAGAGGTAACTCTAAGACCAGAAGGTCCCAAAGAAACGTGCTCAACTTTTTGGATCAGCTCTGGTACTATCTTTGGTCATAAGCTAATCGATGCACCCCTCGAAACAAAGGAAAATCCACGAACCCCTCATTTTATCTGTCAAACTTCCATACTAGAGGAAGAGGAGACAATAGAGATTGCTAAAGTATGATTGTGTAAGTGATTTGTTTTCATCGGGAAAATTTTCCGCTATGAAGTTTTTTTTCCCGATGAAAACATTTTGCGTATACGCATACGTGACGCACACTACGTACGACAAACGTCAGCAATCTCTATTATTGGCTTCTTCTTCTATTATTTCTATCTCTATCTTTATCTATCTCTATCTCTATCTTACGCACATGAAATTGATGAATCTACGCGAAACTTTACCAGTGCATGCGACACCTAGGTTTGAAATCCAAAACCACACAAGTGATGATGTACTAAAAAATATTCCATACGATTTGAAAGGTAGCAAAACGTCATTATCATTTTAACATCATTTCCATCTACTGTACGACCGTAAAGTAAATTGATCAATCGGCCAATCAGGAGCTGGTTCACGTTTGACAGAAAAGTGGTTCATTTTCGCCCCCGTATTGTCACCTCTTCTCTTAGAATTTGCTTGGGACCAATAGGCTAGTCAAGTAGTGAGCCAATTTAAAATCGTTAGTTTCCACCGGCGTACAACCAACAATCAATACGAAACTAACGATTTTAAATTGGCTCACTACTTGACTAGCCTATTGGTCCCAAGCAAATCGATTACGTACCCCATTCTAGTCAAAATTCTAGTACTACACTATGTTTGTTTTGATTCACTATGAAAGTTTGACAGATAAAATGAGGGGTTAGTGGATTTTCCAATGTTTCGAGGGGTGAATCGATTAGCTTGGGACCGAAGATAGTACCAGAGCTGAGCCAAAAAGTCGGGACCAACTAGTCTTAGAGTTACCTCTATGGTACAACGGTACTGCTTTGTATGTCTATCAATGGTATAATGTTTGCTGAGCTCTCAGAAAAATGTGTTACCGAACACTCGGCTGTACAAATCTCGGCAAAATATTGCCGAGATGGAAAAAATCAAAAATGAGTGTGTGGAAGATATGTCACTACTTATTCTTATTAAACAAATTCCAATTACTTTCGTCGTTGAAGTGAAAATAAATTGATCAACTCGCATTCGTTAAGCATTTGCATGAGTAACAGGAATCGTAATCATTAATTGGCACCGATTGTAGAGGCATTGAGCAAATTTATTACTATTATTAGTGCCTTTTACATTGTTGACAGATAAGAAATAGATATTATTCAATAAAATTAGATTATCGTTATAAACGTTCTTTCGTATACAACAGAAATGTTGTAAACGCTATTTTCAACTATCTAAAGAAATAAATCAATCCGAAATGCCTAAGTTCTGGACAAAATTGGGAGATTGTACGAGTTTTTCCCGAATGGAAAGTTTATATCAACTTTATTGATATTAGAACGAAAAAAAAAACAAGAAAGTTCCTATCACAATAAACTGATGTCAACTTCACATGTAGGTGGCCATCCACCTTGAAATGTATGGGCCTAATTTTACAGTTCATCCTTCTGCCTTGCAAAATAAAAAAAAAACTAAATCAAACCGTCCGTTCCGTTTTGTTTTCGAGTGACAGGAGTTTTTCGGCTGTGTTATTGTTGACTGGTGGTCGAGCTGGTGGTCACATTTTATAAGTTTTAAATCCCTTGCGCGATAAGCAAAAAGTCAAAACTGGTCATGCGACACCTAGTTTTAATATCCGCAAAAGCAAATATGATGATGTACTAAACAAATGTCATGCAATTTCACAGATATCAAACCGTCATTAGCGTTTTCACGCATTCGCCATCTGTGAGTCAATTGTCATGACCCAACGCTCCAACAACGAAAGAAACTACAGAAGAAATGCGCAAAGCGAGCTGCTAAACGAATGCGCAATAAAAGTATCATTGAAAATACAATGGAGCATCCTGACCAGGACCTTACTGCTGATGACGGTGCTAACGATCAGCCAAAGCAATACGTGGACAGCGAAGTCCAAGTTGATACATCCGATCTGGAGTTCCTTGAAGTGAAGCGAACATCTGCGGCCTCCTTTGAAAACAATAACGATCTATTGACCTGGACAGAACTAAAATCAAGAGCCATGCTTGAAGCCATTCCCTAATAAAAATAACTATAAAAGAGAGCTTAACGACATGTTCGGGGTATCATCCAAACCTTTTGTGGGATAGTTTACCCATCCGGGATACAGTTCGTTTATGTTCGATCACTCTTGCGTGTATCTGTCAGTTTGTTATTTCATGAATGTCGACTTCTAGTGCTGCCAAATGCATTTTGCCGACATCAAACTAATTAGCGGTAAATTTATGTTTAATTCATTACTACTTTATCATATATACTACAGAAACGTGCTCAAATTTTTGGCTCAGCTCTGGTACTCTCTTCGGTCCCAAGCTAATCGATGCACCCCACGAAACATAGGAAAATCCACGAACCCCTCATTTTATCTGTCAAACTTGCATAGCTAATCAAAACGAACATAGTGTAGTACTAGAATTTCGCCTAGAATGGGGTACGTTAATCGATTTGCTTGGGATCAATAGACTAGTCAAGTAGTGAGCCAATTTAAAATCGTTAGTTTCCACCCATTACGACTGCGCCCATTGACCCACACCACACCACAGTATACTCAACAGATGGCGGTAATGTTTTAGCGACGATGTTTTACAGTTATGATCATGCATCATCGACAGCTACAGCAACTGTACAGGTGATTTTCAACTTAAAACAGGATGTGATAATGCAGAATAAAAAACCATAATGCATAGGTATCTGTTAAGAATTAAAATTGCAATTGAAGCAAAAAATATTTATTTTAAAACTTTTGATTGTGTGGTTGACGGTTCAAATAAAGCAGTTAGTATTTAATAGTTTGCTATAATGTATTTTAACCGGCACATGTAAGACAGATACGAAACGCTAGTTCTATCATATTTTGTGGAGCATCTGCCCGATGACATACGTACAATTCTCTGGGAGGGGAGTTGAATAACCGACCAAGTACCCAAAACTCTATCCTCTCGTTTGTGGATCCATCTTTCGGAACGGACATCAACATTCCCTGTTCCTTGATTGCCACTAATGAGCGGTGTGTGTTGGCAATTTTATTGGATTCATTCGCCAGTATGTCCCGGAATTTTTTTGTGTTCTGCAACGTATTGTGAATGATGGTGCATGTTTTGCGAAAAGTGTTCAATATCAAATCATGCTTGGCAGTTGGTAGACTCAAAACGGGAGCCAAAAAAATACCATCACCCATTTCAAGTTGCACGAAATAGTATAACAGATTTTCACTGCCAAACGTCAACGTACTAGGAATAAGTTCGGAGAATTCCTTGCATCGATTTTCAGATAACTCGTTAATATCGAAAGTACTACTTCTCTGGCTGCTATCCAGACTTTGACCCCAATCTGAATCATCATCATCGTCATGCTCGTTTGTACTATCGTCTTTGAGTGCATGATTTTTTATTGAACTGGACGCATTTGATTCCTCATCATGGTTTTTAGTCGTAGGGCGCTGCTCTTCCTGTGTGGAGTCTTGCTTACTTACCAAAGTCGAAATGCACTGAGGTCGTCGGTTTGAATCAATCCATATTCTTACAAGATTTTCGATTCCTGTAGAATGGAAATAATCTAGCATGTCCTGTATTTCTTCAATATAGCGTGAAAGGCTTTTGTTGTGATTTGTATTAATTGGAGCCTCTAAAATTACTACCATCAATAGATGGCCTATTGAGACCAACATCAGATAGGCGTCGTTTTTCTCGTGAAAATTTAGTTCACAATATTCCTCGGGGTAAACTTTCCTCCAAATGGCAAGATTCTTTATATTGGTACTTGAGATCACCTCAAAAATTCCAAGATTTTTCAAAATCGCCTCAACTTCCACCAGAAACGCACCGCTCAAATGGGAACAAACCAAATACTGATTGTAGTACAAACAACAGCCTATTATAGTTAAATCACAAAACAAATCCACCAATTCGTCATTCCAGTTGCGATAGTCCATTGCTTCCAGTTCTCCTAGGGCATCATCTATTCGCAGTTGAATTTCTTTTGGTAAGGGCACAAAATGTGGTTCATGGAAAGTCTTTTCAAATTTATCCATACTTCTGTTAGTCTTGATGGAATGACGAATCAGTTCACACAGCTGCATCAGTTCAGTTTGCTGTTCAATTGGCTTGTTGAAAGCCGAAGAACAATGAAAATAAAGACTCCTAAGAAGTCGACATATTTGTTCGCTTTTCTGCTTCACTGAAAACAGTGAGGAATACTTTGAGTTGAATCCTAACAGTAAAATACCATCCTCGAAAAAATTGTACGTATTGTAATAAAGATTGTTTCTTATTTTTAAATTTGTCAATATAGCCTTAGTTTTGAAGGAAGAGCTAAATATAGATTGCAACGTTACAAAGCTACCTTTTGAATTAAAAAGCAAATTGTTTTCTTTTGTCGGATAGCAAAATTTTATATCCAACTCATCATTTTGTGTATATTCCTTGGATATGTAAATCATACTGAAAACAAGATCATTACTGCTCATCGTTTGAATGTCGTCCTTATTGAACAATGTTTCCTGACTCTGAATAAGATCCATTAAATTGGTTATCTTAATTTCTATAGCATTCGAGATGTCGTGTTCGATCATTTCAAAAAATGTTACCTTTATAATCGTGGGAATTTTTGTACAACCCTCCAGCAGTGACTCGAAGTTATCCACTGTTACCGGTTCTGCGTCTATAGATTTGATCCAATCCTTCGATTTAACTAATTTACCCTTATAAAATACAGAATAGTCTTTAATTTTATCAACCATTAGCTTTCTACCATCAGGAAACAATGTTGTTGTAATTCCCAATATATTTTCAGTCAGTGGAAGTATCTCCTTCAGTGTAACGTTCTTCTTGGGAGCAATGCTTATGACGACTTCCTTATTGATTCCATTGAGATGCTCCTTTTTAGTCGAATCTATTACATTTACCTTGAACAGTTTGTGTTTGTTCTTTTCCCGCTGACCAAATTTCGAAAGGATGTTCTCTTTCTTCCGAATAGAGAGCCGTTTGTACTCATTCCGAAAAAACAAATCATCATCAAACACGATCGGCTTGGCGTGGTAAACCAGGTCAAATTTCATATAAAACAGAAAATTATCCGCAATGAAAGGGCTCCATTCGTACGTCCTCGAGTCACAGCTGCTGTGGCTGCATTCAGAAGACACGTTAGATTGATCATCGGTCCAGACCTTAAATTTCGAAATGTATAGGTAACATGAACATAAAGTGAATAGAAATAATTACTTGTTCGTCTCGTTCTCCTTCTTCAGAAGCTGGAAGTGAAGCGTTCGGTGCTGAATTATTATTGAAGATTCCTCGTTGATTAGCATTCATTTTTCAGATTTTTCATAACGAATGACGCAAAATTATGTAGGTATGCAATTTATGTTTCATATAAACAAAACAAAGCATATTATAAAACATAATTGGCGTTGACGGCGACTCTGCAGCTCTTTACTCCAACGTAAAATACTTAAGCAAACGTCAGACTGTGCGTGAAACATAGTGGCTATCGTACTATTCTTTCACTCCACTAAAATTTCCATAAGAAACTGTCAATATTTGCTAGAAGAGGCGATTTCTAGACGGTGCCGTAAAGGTAAATTTACGTTACGTTATAACGCTAATCCCTGTCGAATGAGGCCAGTGGCATATTTCATTTTTAACAAATTCAGTGCCAACATTTCAAAGGGGCGTAATTGCTTTTGTAAACAATGACTTTAGTCGTCAATTTCTCGCGAATGAAATCTTACCTCTCCAAAATGACAATGCTAACTGGTAGAGGAAACATCTCTCTACCTGCTGGTGTCATTATTTTTCATGAGTGAGCTTTTATTCACGAGAAATCGACGGCTAAAGCCATTGTTTACGAATGCAATTACGCCCCTTTGAAATGTTGGCACTGAAATATTCGAGCAGGCCCTACACTCAAAAATATAACTAAATAAGAAAGATTAAAATTTAATCATTTAAGCTTAACCAATGTTTATACATCCACAGCAAAAAAAAAATATAATATCGATCAACGTAATTCAAGCTGATGTATGAAATAATGATGTAATAGCAAAAAGCAGATACAATATTACATCAATGGATGTAATTTTGTTCGCAAAATCGATGTACATCGTACAATGTGATATAACACAACCGATGGATTGACCTGGTTGCAGCAGTTTCGATGTAATATTCAACAACTTTTTTTGCTGTGTTGATTCGATTATTTTATTTTATCAAAATTACACTAAGTCCGACTACTGGCGAAGAATTCGCCAGTGTATATCGCTGACAGCAAAGCTGTGCAAGAATTAAAAGTGCTGAAGGATGAAAACTGTTTTGGAAAGACTTCATTATCGTTTCAGCCCTCTCGTCGAGCTTCACACGCTGCACACAGCAAAAAAAAAATGTAATATCGATCAATGTAATTCAAGCTGATGTATGAAATAATGATGTATGTATGTATGTATGTATGTAAGTAGCCACCATCCTAGCTTGGGTCTTGCCCTGCATGCAGCTCCACTCAACAGCAAGATCAAATTCCATCATCATTCTGAATTCAACATACTGCTGTATGAAGGGCCAAAAAGGGTTGGACAGAGGCACTTACGTGAAACCCGCGGGAATAAGAGAATCTCCTTCCAACAATATGATCCAACAAAATGAATAACGAAATTCGCAATACATGTTAAGCTTTCCACGGGATGGTTTGTTTAAGAAGAGCGCGTCAAATTCATTGCAACTGTTGGAGTGAAATGTAACTATCTAAAATGACAGTACACATTCCCTCCTAGACTCCGGTTGGCACTCCACTCCATTGTCCAGTTACAACTTCAATGATGCCCTGATGCTCCCTCCCGTCCCAGTATTTATTGTAATTTACATTATGAATTTATATATAATCATGTGATATATAATGAATATAAAATATGTAGTAAAATGAAAAATATGATAAAAAAAAAGATGTTTTACAAAATACAAATAACCTAGATTGTTGGGTCCTATACACACACTTTTTGTTTTATGTGCCATGAAATGACATAATTCATCATTGTATGTTTTGAAAATATAATACTAAAGTATTGAATCAATAGACCGAAAAACGGGGTTATTTGGACATGAGACATTATATTTAAAAGGATACTACCAAACCGACCATCAAACGCACTGCCCACAAAAGCAGACCCGTCCCCTCGAAAATGCAATCGAGAAATGTACAAGAACAATCCTCAACTGGAACGTACTCACCAAATCAATATATCCGGGAGCGCATTCCCAATGTCGTCGAACGGCAAAAAAAGGGAACTCGGTGAGCAAATTTGTGATATGGAATTTTCACTGAAAACAACCACGAATTTCACCACATCCAACTGCGAAACCCGTTTAGAAGCACTTTTGGTACACTTTCGATATCAATTGACCACTTTGTCAAGCAGTTTTGGCGTGACTTTCTACCAGCGATTTTACAAAACTGAACCAACTAATTTCTATTTTTCTATGAAACGCACAAATATTGGCTACTTATCTCGAGGTCCTAGAAGAAAAAATCTCAAAATAATGTTTTATTTCAAAGTTCGAGTGGTAGTAAACGTCATTTTAAGTGCTCGAATGAAGTGGTTAATTTCTTTCGAAAAAACTTTTTTTTTTTTTGTAAATCGTTGACTTCACGTAGAAGTAATACTAAAAACATACAGACAAAGTACTTGCAGCGCGTACATAAACTGAAATTAAAATTTTCACTCGCGATGCCACAAATTTCTGGTTCGGGAGAAACAATCAAACCACGCAGCGCCAAATCTTCTGATGCTTGCGCAATTTTGCAAACATGATGAATCATGTTTCTTTCTCGATTCTAAAACTTCTCGGAAAGCGAGAAAACCACCACTCACACACGTATAACCATCCGGGAGGCAGAGTGCCAGCGCTAATCCGGCAAATGCAGCCGAAAACTATGAAAGCGAACGCACGCACAAAACAGAGAACAAACACAACCGTATCCAAAGGGGTTCCGTGCGCAACTAAGCTGATGTATGAAATAATGATGTAATAGCAAAAAGCAGATACAATATTACATCAATGGTTGTAATTTTGTTCGAAAAATCGATGTACATCATACAACGTTATATTACACAACCGATTGATTAACCTGGTTGCAGCAGTTTGGATGTAATATTCAACAACTTTTTTTTCCTGTGCAGGATATGTTGACAATCAAGAATAGGAATTTACGAAGCTAGAACAGCACTACCGTTCATACTGGCGACAACGCTCTGATGAGACAACGAAACCCTACCCCAAGCTCCTCCCCTGATCCTATCCTTCGAAAATGTACCCTTCTAACCTCGAGTAAGCCGCGAGTAATCGGCCCAACTCCTACTAGACATAGAATTAAGTGAATTTTGTTACACACAGTGAACAATGAATTATCGGCTGCGTAAAGCTAACGCGATTGAGCCTTCCAAATAAACGAACTAGATAAAAAAAAAAAGAATAGGAATTCCTGTCCTCGTCTTTATCCATAGTTCACCAAGGAGTAAACAAAGCTTTAGTAAGTATTGAAGAATTGATCCAGTGAAGATTTGAGAAGAATATTTGAAAAATAATTTTGTTTTTAGTTTCAAGCAACGTTGGCAAGCAAATGCGCCCAAGCACCACAATCTCCAAAATTCAATTAACCACTTCATTCGAGCAGTTAAAATGACGTTTACTACCACTCGAACTTTGAACTAAAACATTATTTTGACATTTTTTCTTCTAGAACCACGAGAAAAGTAGCCAACATTTGCGCGTTTCATAAAAAAAATAGAAATTAGTTAGAAAGTCACGCCAAAACTGCTTGACAAAGTGGTCAATTGCACCATGTTTGCAAGTTTAGGACCTTCGTAGCACCGAATGAAGATGACCGGGTTTGAAACGGTGAATAACTGCTGGTAAGGTGAATTTGAACAGTTTCGCTTGCCAAGTGCCAACTCTAAACTAGATCCAAACATCCTCTCTTTCCAGGCATGCTATCACGGGTTATTAAATGTATAGACGTAAACTTGAAGAACTACAATGGTAAACATTTGCTTCGTCGCGGACATTCATCTTCTCGTTCATTTACCGGCTGATTGCTTCTTCCGATGAAATTCCGAATATGTCGATAAATAATATAAACAATTCCATCAGTCACCTGGTGTATATGGAACTCTCTTTAACCAGCAATGCAAATCGATAACAAGGAGATTATAAATGTGCATCGATGGCAATATTTGTTGTTCTTTGTCAAAGTTCAAAGATACGATGATATCAGTATTTAAATATGTATTGATGAATATTTGTAAAGAATACTTAAGTCCATGTGACATATCGTAATTAAAAGAAATTTAGTATGGCACCTTTATGGATGACTATCATATGACCGATGCAGAAATAATCTTAAATGTAAGTATCGATCAATAAAGATTTTTAAATGTGTACATTGAAATCATAGAAAATTTAAAGTAAAGAATTGCCGACATAAATCTTTATTTCTGTATAAAGATCTTTGAAGAAGTTTCACGAATGGTTGGTCGGGCTAGGGGAAGTACAACTTGATCTGAAGTAATATTTGATGTAAAAATTGCTCAAATTGGTAGATATTATAATTTTTAGTATAAATATTAATGATATTAACTGTCAAGCGGAAAGCTTCAAAGTAAAAAAAATAATAACAGTGTAACCATAGAGGTAACTCTAAGACCACTGGGTCCCGAAGAAAATCATTATTATTTTTGGCTCACTCAGTACCAGAACAACGGTCCCAAGCAGTCCCAAGCTATTTCACTCACCCCTGCATGTTCTGCATGAATCCACACACCCCTGATGTTATCTGTCAAACTTTCATAGCGAATCAAAACAAACATAGTGTAGTAATAGAATTTCAACTAGAATAGGGTACGTTAATCGTTTGCTTGGGACCAATAGGCTACTAAAGTGGTGAGCCAATTTAAAATCGTTAGTTTCGTATTGATTGTTGGTGTAACTTTAACGCATACACTCAATGACGTTGCACCGTTGTTGTTTATGTTTACTGCAGCTTTCTGTTTGTTTTAATTTTGCCTAGATTTTCGTTTTCGATAGCTCTGATCGATTTCGTCTTCGGCTATTCATGATAAAAACGGTACTGGACGTTCCCCCAGCAACAAATCTCTCCAAGTTGCATTCTCATGGTGAATCGAGCGTAATACGACCACGGGACCATCACTCTGGGCTTCCGTTAACAGGGGCGGCATTGTCAATCGATTCCCGTTCCATAGGAGAACAGCACATTGGTTCACAGACGATGAAGAATTTGTGGAAATTAATTCCTGGGAAAAGCGGCGCCGGTGGTGTAGTGGTAAGCGTGATTACCTCTCACCCCAGCAGGCCTGGGTTCAATTCCAGTCGGCGCCGCCGGGATGTTCTGAGGCATAACATCTCTGATCACGTCTTCCTTCGGAAGGGAAGTAAAGCCGTTGGTCCCCGGTTCATGAGTTGATGGGTCGATAGGTAGGGTCCAGGTGTGGGAGCTGCCTTCCTGGCGTCGGTAGCATTGGTGCTCAGCACGGAAAACAAGATCGACGGAAAACAAACCAAAGAAAAAAAAAAAAAAATTCCTGGGAATGGAAGTGCGGCCGATTATGTGCACTGAGAACAGCTACAGAAAAATGCCGAATTTATGAGAACAAGGAGTGGATTTTGGTGGCGGTGGCCAGTAAGATCCCAAAGGAATGACTTGCCTCTCGTGTGGAATACATTTTTGATTAAACGAATGTCAAATGTACACTTAAAACAAAAATAGTCAAAAACAAACAAAAAACAACTGTCAGACTAAGTATAAGATTCGCAAATATCACACATATTAAAATATTTAATATTTCCACCATCGGTATTGATACTGATACTTGGAGCTGTCCTTCCCCTAGTGGTCGGGTTATACCAGGCCAGTGACAAGGCCTATACCAACAGCAGTGTTTGACAGTAGGCAGCATGTCCCGGGCTCAAATCGTTTATTTTGCTGTGCTGCCCGCATAAACGCGAACCAACCGATAATGGTTATAAATTGTTTATAATCCCTGCTAAACTTCAACTGAAATGGTTATGGAACCTTACATGAACGTTTGTGTGATAAAGTTTTAACCTTATGTGTTATGGTTTTTTGGAAGCGGACCTTACAAATAATGGGTTGTTAAGAACCATTACCATTCCAAATTCTTGTTTTCTCCATACATTTTCGGAAAGAGAACTATATTAGAACGTTTTTACTTATGGTTTGAGAACATTAATGGTTATGGTTATGGTAGTCAGTAAGGTCCATTAATGGTTTTGTATTATCACTCAACTTTACGTGAAATATATCGTGAATTGGTAATCAGTAATTTACAGACAACCAATTCGCGATATATTCAACATAAAGTTGATCGATGTTACAAAACCATTCATGGACCTTACTGGTTACCATAACCATTACCATTAATGTTCTTAGGCCGTTCGCAATGCTGTTGTATTTTATAAGGACTGTTTCAATTTGAAACTAGAACAGAAACGCACCTCTCGCAATGCTGAGTTGCAGTTTCATTATTCGAGCACTATTTTGCACCAGATTTGCAACTGCTCGACTATTCTGTTTTATTTCTGAGCGAGTTTGAAACACGAATGGAACTCTGTTTCAAATTTCTGTATGTATTTAAAGATGTTTCGAAGAGCTTCACAAAAAAACTCTATGAACTTCATAGAGAACAGTAAATTTTATGGAACTTGGTGATTACAAACATCTTTTAGAACTGTGCGTTGCGCTGATCGTGTTGCAGTTTTATTTTTGACAGTTTCAAATTATAGAATTGTCAAGTCGTTTAAAACAATTTTGAAACACAGCATTGCGAACGGCCTTAAACCATAAGTTAAAAGGTTTTAGTAAAGTTTTCTTTCCGAAAATGTATGGAGAAAACAAGAATTTGGAATGGTTATGGTTCTTAACAACCCATTATTTGTAAGGTCCACTTCCAAAAAACTATAATACTTAAGGTTAAAACTTTTTCATTAAACGTTCATGTAAAGTTCCATAACCATTTCAGTTGAAGTTTAGCAGGGATTATAAACAATTTATAACCATTATCGGTAAGGTCAATTTATGGTTTGCGCTTATGCGGGTGGGCCCGCTGTCACGGTATAACATGTTGCCTACGGCGTGCCACTTGGCTGGGTTATACCATAGAGGTAACTCTAAGACCACTGGGTCTCGAAGAAAATCATTATTATTTTTGGCTCACTCAGTACCAGAACAACGGTCCCAAGCAGTCCCAAGCTATTTCACTCACCCCTGCATGTTCTGCATGAATCCACACACCCCTGATGTTATCTGTCAAACTTTCATAGCGAATCAAAACAAACATAGTGTAGTAATAGAATTTCAACTAGAATAGGGTACGTTAATCGTTTGCTTGGGACCAATAGGCTACTAAAGTGGTGAGCCAATTTAAAATCGTTAGTTTCGTATTGATTGTTGGTTATACTATTTAGCTTTCAATAATTTTTGAGTGTACCCATCTCTGCAAAAAATGACATTTTTTGTTACCTTTATTTCTGAGTGCACACGCCTAGTGGCAAATCTTACCATCTTAAACGTCAATTGTTTGATAGACTGGCAAGTTGCGGGCTTGCTGCTCGAAAATCCGGCTTGAATTTCATTTTCGAGTAATCTAAAGTTGAAGTTCATTGTGTTTGGAAGCCACGCCAAGCTTTGTCGCGGAAAAAGTGAAAAAATTAGTGCGGAATATTGTTTAAATCGGTCCTATTTAATAATCATTGGTGAGTACAGTAGTATATTATGTTTATAATGTGGAACATTGTATGACAAACATGGATTTGGAAAGGAAAAGTGATAAGACCGGGTGGAATTTCAATACTGCAATTTCATGGTTCATAGGAAAGGAATATGAATGGCGAAGTAACATAAAAACGTGCACTTGACAAAGGTCGCTCAGGAACGGGGTTGGCCGCTATCGTAATCGGTATTGGTTGCTAGAAATTTTCCGCTGAAATTAAATAGTGTTTTTCCAGGTTTTAAAGTGGATTTTTATATTCTACCTTCGCCGAAATTCTCGGATCATAATGGAACTATCAGTGCGGCTTTTTGCATATTTTAAAATGGCGTATCACATAAAAGTAGCAATAATACGCTGGGTTGTTGAAGGTCAGCGGCTTTCAAGAATTTCAGCAGATGTTCGATAAGCAACTCTATATTTGTGTATCTCTTCTGGTTTTTGTGTATTTATCCTAAAGTTACATAATTTAGGTAGGATTAATACTTTTACTCGTACTAGCTGTGTTGCTTTACCTCATCAGTGTTGCCATCTATTCTGGATACAGCAAGAATAAAGGCACAGTTAATGAAATTCAATGGAAAAGGATAGGATGGTGTGCAGCACATTCTGATCTGATAACGATTTCGTGTTTCGGCATTCTGCATTCTCTCTTCAGCATATTCACAAGAGGAAGATTAGCATGAGTCAGACCAGTCGGGTTCTCTTACGCTCATTTCGGTTTCCGAATGAAGACAAGAGTCAATGCAGCACTTCCTTTAATGTTAATACCAGAAAACGAGTTGTTGCTCACTGAAAGATAAACAAGTTGTTTCACAGGTTTGAACAATTTTCACCTCACGCCGCCTCTTTTAGTAAATGTATGTCAACGTTCTTGAAGCCAATACAGTTATCTTAGTACTGGGTCAAAGACTAGCCTTTGGTTGGATTGGTTTATTAGTCAGTATGTAAATTGCGTTTAAATATTGACAGAGGTGGCAACGAAAAGACGGGAATGTACAATTAAGAAAAGGACAGAAAAATTATCTGGCAAAGAGAATACTACCATTGAATTAAAATAAGTTCAAATTGATTTTCCTCCTGTACACAAAAAGCCAAAATAAATAAGCTTTTAGCCGGACGGAGGTTACCGAGACAAAAATCTATAATTTATGCGTTTGTCTAGCGCCCAAAACTGTCTCACGGTAATATTCTCCTCCAGCAGCAAGGGTTGCGGCAATTCGTTTGTTATGATTTCGTTTTTTTTTATGAAATCATTAGATGATATTTTTCACTTGGAAGTTACGAGAAGAGATTGTAAAGTATGTGTTTGCAACAAGAAACCCGTCAATTTCACTTTCAGAGAGTCGTAATTTGATGCTTCAATGAATGTACACTCAGGTCTTTTTTTACACGGGGGATACGTACCGTGTAAAAAAAAAACCGTGTAAAAAAAACCTACGAGATTTTGATTTTTCGCATGCTTAAATGTTTTTAAAAAATCGGATTTTGATGCCATTTGTAATTAAAGCATGATATGGTCCATACAGACATATTTTAAAAATTTCGAAGTATGCCATTCGATTTTTTTCTAAGTATGCCATTCGATTACCTATAGCTTGAAACGGATAATGTGATTGGAATCAAGTCGATAGGTTGTATCGTTGTCGAGAAATCGTTAAAAACGTACCGTGTAAATCGTGGAAAATCGTGTAAAAATAACCGTGTGAAAAAAAAAACCGCGTAAAAAAAACCGTGTAAAAAAAGACTTTAGTGTACACTCTTTATGAAGAGTGAATATTCACCTGTCATAAAATTGCTGATTGTGATTTTCTAAATGCAAAATTGATAGATTTTATGTGATTTTAACACATAAATTACAACCTCTTCTTGTAACTTAAGTACCGTAAAACGGGGTAACATTGATAGTTTTTTAAAGTATATTCTAAATATTTTTTTACAGCAATGAATGTTTTTCAAATTTTATATTTTTTAAACGAGTACTGAAGATCAAAGAGTTAATTTGTTAGTAATATGTTGAACGAAAATTAAAGCATTTGCACTATTTTTTTTTAGTTTTGTGACCGAACTTCAGTATTTTGATTTGGGGTTACTTTGATAATGCTCGATGAATTTAGAAAAAAATGAGTGAAACTCAAACCATTTAGTTCTTTAAATATGAAACTATGAATGAGTATATAATCAGAAAACTTCATAAGCAATAAGAATACAACATTGAATTTGTGATGGCTGTATCGGAAAAACATTTGATAAGTGATGGTTTGAGTGCTTTTTAAAAAACACGAAAATGATTTTTAAATATTTTTGTAAAATATGTAACACATACTATATAAAAATTATATACGATATCAACGGAAATACCCTAAGCTACAATATGGAACCAATGTTTCTTATTTGGAAAAAGCACAGCGAGTAAATTTATTCTTTATATCATACTATCAAAGTTACCCGCATTATCAAAGATACCCCGTTTTACGGTACATACAAAAACATATTTTTATAGCGAACGAATGGCCGCAACCCTGAGAGCAGCAATTAATATGTTGTTAATTTTAACGAAATTTCTGTACCACGAATCAAAACTACTACGATACAACTTATACCACGTTTAATCTACTATGAACGTAAAAATAGACGAGTTCATTTTTATGCGGATACAAGTTACGTGTATTCGTTATCAGTCAGTACGTGGTTTATGAACAGCCTCTTTCACGCTGAAACCATTCGGTTTCTGTTGTTAGTGGAAATATAACATATTTCGTTTACACGCAGAAAGATAAAAAGATAAATTTCAGAAAAAAATTATTAATATCGAATAATAAAAGATTTTTGAAACCAGGTTCGCATGAGTTTTGATCTACAAGAGAGAAATAACATTTGATCTTTAAATGTTCTACCAAATTACTTTAGTTTTGATCGATAAAATAACGAAAATGGGTCATTCTCGTACCGACTGTATTGTATCTTGAATCCATCAATCTAATTTATTGGAAATGTCCTGCATTCACTAAGCGCCATTTGTCGATGATGGACGTTTACAAATATGAAAAAAAAAGAGTTTCGGCCTCATTTCGCAACTCGAAACGACGAACTTTTTCATACAGGCGTTCATACAAAAAATGCTTTGTTTCGACTTGCGCAATGTGGCCCCTGATTGCTGTGTAATTATGATGCAATTATTGCCAGACATATCGTATATATGTTATTATAGCTATATATAGTATGTGATAAATAAGATAATGACCTGAAGATTACATAATACCTGTCCATAATTTACGTACCGTGAACGTGGATTATTCCGCACTAGTGCTACACTCGTATATATCCCGTTTTTTTTTTAAATTTGTATGAATTCATTGAACTCTAAGCCCAGTGAGTGGAATTACAAACCGCGCGGAACAACCCACGTTCACGGTATATACATTTTGAGAATTGGCATTGACGGTAACTCTGTAGCTCTTTCTTAAAATCCATAAGCAAACGTCAAACTGTGTGTGAAATATGGCGGACTTCGTACTATCCGTTCACTCCACTGAAAATTCCCATAGTAAACTGTCAATCTTTGCTACAAGAGACGATTTTTCATCGGTGCCGTCAACGCCAATTGGACTCCCTTACCCATGCGTTTAAAAAAAAGTTCAAACTATTTTCTGAAGTTTGTCGATTTCTCCCCACCTCTCTCTTTTGCTTCTGCCGTAGGCTATTGAATCTGGTTATATTTTCCTCCAGTTTTTTTTTTTTGTGATTTCCAAATATTTACCAAGTAATAGAAAGAATAGTAATCGATACCTTCCTACGCTGTTCCTCGGAAATCTAATGATGTCTTGCTATTAGTCGAATCATAGATTAGTGACATTCACCTAATAATTAAATTTACAATGCGTTCTGTGAATCCTTTATATTCCCACAATTTGTCATACAGATGCAATGAAAAATTCAGCTTTTCTGTGCTCCATCAACTGCACGAACATGCTACATCCTGTGTGTGATGAAAAAAGTACAGCAAATATGAGGAAGGCATGGTAAACGAAAAGGATATAGAGACATGCATATATACGGCTGGAGGAAAAAACACTGTTGAATTTTAATGCCAGCAGCATTTAATGAATGTATCGCGTGTCGACTTTGTGTCTATGAATGTTTAAACCAATTCGATTTCTAACCTATTACCGTATAGCGCCAAACTGTGACGTTGTAAAATTGGCCGGTATAAAACTGGCATCCTTATCTTAACTTGACTCATGGTTCTTTTTGACTTTCAAATATGTCACTTAATTCATTTTTTTAGCTAGGGGAAAATGGGGCAAGATGGTCACTCTAACGAAACTCGAATAAAATTCCTTAATTTGGCCAGAAATAATTCATACTATAATCCTACATAAGCTTCAAGGGTGGGTTGACCTACAATCTTATGCTTGAAGAACAATGATATAAACTTGTTTAAATTCGATGTTTTTATTTTTATTTTTTCATGATTAACATAATTGAGGCTACAACCTGTATAAACGATAAATGTTCAGAAAAAATTTCAATGTCTTAAGGGGCAAAAAGAGCACCAGTATTATAGTCGTAGGCATAAATAGTCTTTGTGTCTAAAATCAGCCTTTCCTTTACATGAGAATTGCACTCAATCAAATACACCAAACACTGAAGTCTTTTTTTTTACACGGTTTTTCGCGATTTACACGGTACGTTTTTAACGATTTCTCGACAACGATACAACCTATCGACTTGATTCCAATCACATTATGCGTTTCAAGCTATAGGTAATCGAATGGCATAGAAATCACAATTCTTGGTGTAAATACAGAAATTTTTAAAATTACGAATGGCATCAAAATCCAATTTTTTAAAAACATTAAAGCATGTGAAAATCAAAATCTCGTAGGTCCCTCCCTTTGGTTAGTTTTTTAACCTGGACGTTGGTGGGCGGGCCTAATCTTATGCTTCATAGTGGAGCGTTGGAGACGGTTGGGTTAGGTCCGG